TCTCGGCGTTTTTCGATTAGGAGGGACCGTGAAAAATAAAAAAAGATTTCTCTCTTGGCTTGGCGCGCATAAATGAAAAATAAGCAAGATTTATGAAGATTTAATTACGGATCTCGGCGCAACTCTCCTGTGGCGAGACGGTTTTTGGATTAAATTTCAAGGCAAAAGGGTCCGGCGCAGAATCAATTAGCGTACGCACGTGAATTAAATGAATCCACGGGGAATTCCGATGGAATTCCGTGATGAGAGAGAATGTTCTCTCTGCTTTTGACGAGTGTTCGACTAGAAATTCAATAGGAATTCAATAAATTCTGACTTTAATAAGGCGAGTTGGACGCAAAATTTCTGGCGAGCTCTGTGACTCTGTGTGCAAAAGTTGGCTCAAAGAGCCCATCGAGTTGAGCAAATTGAATCAAAAGTTGGACTATAAATTTCCAGGTTCATTAGTTTGATTAGTTTCTTTGACATTGAAACTAAAAATAATGTAGAGAGAAATTATCTCTTTCAATGATTTTAATACTTAAGAATCTAAAGGAACACTGTTATTTCATGATTAGGATCGATAAAATCGAACACGTCATAAGGAATGAGTTCACCAAAATCTTATATTTTCCCGCCAAAATCATTTGAACCTTTTTTGTAAATGATCACTAAATTTGATCAAATATTATGCAAGGGAATTAATTAAATTTACTTTTGAACTTAAAAATCTTCGTAAAAAAAATTGGAGGGAAAATCAATAAAATTATGAGCCTTTTGTCTCCAATAAGAGTGCAAATTTTACAATAGCAACCTCGACTGCTCTCTTGAAATTTAATCTTCTATCGAATTCTTTAATAAAATTTTTTCCCAGAGAAGCCCTTTAATATGGTTTGGGCGGCCCCATAACAAAAGAATTTAATAAATTATACCTTTCTTTGCTTGTTTTATGCCCACAGCGCCCACTCTTCAATTTATTTTGCTCTTAAACCTAATTTGCATCGAAATTTCGTAATATAATGAAACGCATTTTCGGCGTTCAAAAAGTCAAATAGCCCGCAGGCTAAAAAAAGTTTACGCAAAATTTTCTCGTTTGTCGACGCGGTTTGCACGTGAATATTTGATGTCCGCTTTTGCAGCAAAAACAATTTTTCATCCGAGCGAAATAATAATAATAAAAAAACATTAAAGGGCGAATGGCATGTTTGCCGCTCATTTCGTGCCGTCAGCCTCGTTATTCATTTATTTATACCCCCTTTAGAGAACGCGGCAGCAAAATATGCGAATAACGTTTTGCCGACAATCGGTTGCGTTCAAATATATCACCAACGCTCAAGGGCAGTGTGCAATGAGATTAATATTTTACTTTGGTGACTAATTAATTGTTAAAAATGATTGCTTGCAGCTCCTTTTATTGTTGATATTGTTTTGGCTGGAGGCGAAAATTGTAAAATATTTCTATTTAATATTGCTGCACACTTTGTCGGTTTTCAATCAAATATTTAATTATTTATTTAGTTTTGAATGGTTACAAATGGTCTAAATTAAATTCATAATTTTTGGACTGGTGAACATTTATTTTGTTTTTCTTTTATTCTCTGTTTAATATATTTATATTCAGACAATGGATTTTTACGAAATGTTTTTTACTGATTCACAATATTTGAAGTTGTAATTGACTTTCTCGCAAATAATTATCAATAATAATACTTTTCGGAGAACGTTTTCTTCTCATAATTTAATTTTAAAATTCTAGATCATATTTGTTTAATTTTCTTATTTCCCAAATAATTTTAATACTTCTTTATGGAATGAACATACATTTTTTGGCAGAAATTTTTACTCTTGTTGTTGCTCTTTCACGACTATCAGGACAAATTTCATTAGGAACTTCAAGAGTTTGATAATTTTTGTAAGAAATGAGAACAAATCTTTTTTGAAATTTACCAACTAAAATTTGAGCCAAGGAAAGTCGCATTTGTTGTTCAAAAACACTCAGCAAATTACTTCTAATGAATATTTGCAACTAAAATTGGTTTTTCTAAAAATATTTTGCTATTTTTAACAAGAAATATTTCAAACTAGAAAAGAAAACTACTGAAATTCACAATTAAATTATTAATAAAAGTTTTTATCCTTTAAAAATTATTGTAGAGCATCAAGATGTGCGGAACGTTTCATAAATAATTCCCTATTATATTTCCGTGCACCCTTTTTAACTTTTTTTCATCATCCAAGTCTTTTACTGTTATATTTATTACGTCAAGCGAAAGGGTTGCGGCGTTTCTTCACTGCCACAAGGGCATTGGCTTAATATTTATTATTTTCCCGAGGCACAACAAGTATAGAAGTGCGTGCGTGCAGAGTCCTTGAACGGAAAACGACGAAAGCCGCAGAGAGCTGATCGGATGTCGCGATTAGCGGGAAAAATGAATTTCACAGCTCGAAGAAAAGCCGCAATAAAATCGGAGAGCAAAACAAAGTGGAAAACAAACTGAACGAGCTGAAATTCTTGCCTAATTGCATTAATATTTCACAGCGGCGGGCCTTTCATCATCCGCCAGAAACCGAATTTCGCGAGTGTGCCGCAAAAAGCAAGCCGCGGGCCCTCGGATTAATTTGCAAAAGGGGGAATTTTTCCACCCTTCCTCGGCAAATATGGTGTATTATGCTGCACAGGAGCGACTGCAAGATTTATATATTTGCGGGGCCGAAGCTGGAAATGTAATTCGGGGCGTGACATTTATTGTGATGGCTCATTTGTCAGCGGCAGCGAGCAGAACGTGCGTTGCCTTCCTTTTCTTCGTCTTCTTCCCCGTGAAACCGCCGCGCCCTCAGCCTCGCGACAAAGGCGAAAAATGGGCCCAGGGCGCGTGCGGCTGCTGCGACTCTTGTTTGCCCAAACGTGGTGACAGCTGTTTCTACAGCAAGGTCTTTCCTCCAAACACACACGCGAGCCGTGTCAAAATCACGGTGTTTCTTACTTTGAAATAGAAGAAGAAGAATGAAGTGAAGATCAGTGTCACACCGAAAGATAATTTAATGCTGGAAATTTATTTATTGTTTTAATTACCATCGATAGAGTTCATTTTCACAGATAAAGTAAATGATGATTTTGAATATAGTAAATTAATATTTGAATTGCAGTAATTAATTTTTTATGCAAAAAAAAATCTGCAATAACAATTGCAATGTATATCATTTCAATTATAAGTTGGCAAAATAAATTTATAAGACCAAAAAGATTGTTTTTAACTTATGAAAATCGTATTTGAAATTCTTTTATAATGTCAATAACTCAAGAAACACATTAAGGTGATAAATTTTTGTATTATAATCGAACAGAAGATGAAATTTGATTTTTTTTTCTTTTTAATTTTTGGCTGGGTAGCCCTGAAAAGTCCGTTTTAAGGTCATTGGAATTTGTTCAGAAAAAATATTTATTTATAAATTATGATTTAAATTAAATCATAGAATTTGGGGGAGGCGGGGGTTATTCAATTAATAAAAAAAAAATACCTCAGTGCCCTTATGGAAATCAAGGATCTGGAATATGCAAAAATTAACCCCTAATTTATATAAATTGTGCAACTTTTTATCATTAAAATTTCAATAAATAATCATTATTCATTGCACCAATGACAGATTTATAAACCCACTCATTAAATTTGCTCTTCGATACTCCGCATTACTTTAACTGTTTTCCAATTTGGTAATATAAATCCGGTTGTTCGACAGTAAAATACTTTGTTCTCATTTGGTATTTGGGCAATAATGAACTACAAACGTACGCTTTGAAGGCGAATTCATAGGCTTAAGCCAATTATAGCAATAATGGGAAATAATGATGTTTAATGTTGCATCACAGAGATCAACGTTCTAGCTGTGCCTGTATTGAGGGAAATGTAATATAGAAAGTTTATTTGGTTTATTATTTAAGAGGCATTACAAAGTAATTTGAATAAAGGAGGCAACTAAATAAAAAATTTCAAGCAAAAACAATTTTTTCCATCTCGATAGGAATTTCAACTTCACGAGTCTGCTTTTTTTGCTCATTTTCCTGCCAAAACTTATCTTTTTTTTTAAACTTTTCTTTAAAAAGTTAAAAAGTATTTAAATTTTTATAGAATTATTGCGTCTCATAAGGTCAAAAAATTTTGAATAACAGAAAAATGACACGGAAGGAATTCATAAATGTAATTAATTTCGTCAACTTTGATAAAACTAATTAATTAACTCAATTTCAAACTTAATGAAATGACAGATAAGCAACAATGAAGTACGTTTTGTCTTAATGTGAATGAATGGGCCGAGATTGACAATGAGTGGCATGTTTCGGTGTTTTGGTTCTAAAGGAAAGCACGCTTGCTCCGTCTGCTGATTAATTTGAGACAGCTTTTTGCACTCACGAGAGACTCGCACCCCCATCGCCGCCCACCAAGTTTGCGCGCGCCAACAATTGCGGCGGCCTCTCAAGAGAGACAGAGACTCGCACGGGCGCGAGGCTTTCACGCCTCGCTGTTTTCCGAGCGGAAACCACTCCGTGAGAAAGCACAAATCTCGCCGCCGCTATAGCAGGACCGGATTAACGCGTCCGACGCGTACTTGTTGCCTTTTGCCAACTTTTTCTTTTGACTTCCCTCGAAAATCGTCAGCACTCCACTTCGAGTGCAAGTTGAGTTTCTGTTATTTTGGTTTGAATCTTCGATGAAAGCAAAGAAATTAATTAAACTTCAGCAATTTCCTGTTCAATCGTTCCAGAAAATTAAATATAATTGAAAACCTTCATTGATTTTAAAACAGAATGAAATCTTATAAAAAATTATATTCTTTGCTCAGTTGGTAAAAAAAAGATGTAAATTCTAATATAAATGAAAACATAGAAAGACAATGAAATTATATGTGAGAATTTTTTTACATTTAACGCATAAATTTTAAGTTAGTTCACAAAAGAAACACCAAAGTTTCCAAATTAACAACGTGTAAAATATTGAAAATTTCACAATTATTTTGTGTTGCAGGTTATGACAGGAATTTGAGTGAATGCACGGCAAGGGGTACCTGGAGGAGCCCCTGCGAGTGCCCGCGGGGGCTCCGTACGAATGGTACACGACGACGACACCAGCGGCGCCACATGTCACGCAGAATCACGTGCCTCCGCGGCGTCTGGCGTCGGCCGAGACGCCGCCGTCCAAAAACGGCTGCTTCTGCTGCGAGGGGCTCCTGGGCCCCTCGGGGGCCCCGGCCCCGCACGCCGGCGACGCCGAGGACGGCTTCGGGGGCGTGGTGACCAGCATGACTGGTGGCGCCGTCGGCAGGCGACGCGCCTACGAGGAAGACGCCCCCGCCGGTGGCGGCTGTTGCTGCGTGTCCGAGGGCAGTGCCGCCCCCGACCAAGACCCCGGGTGTTGCCGACCGGCGGCTTTGCTCCTTCTGCTCGTCGCCCTCCTCACACTCTTCCTGCTCGTCAGCGGCGCCATCCTCTACACAAATTGTGAGTCCATTTTTCTGATTTCTGATCTAATTGTAAGAAGAGAGTTTGTAGTTTTTCTTATTCAATTCTTTATTTTTCTTCACTTCCATAATCCTCACCTCTCGATAGTCAATTTCTTCAAACAAATATATTATTTGAGTTTTTGTTATTAATTTTTCCAAATATGGAGAGCCGATTGTTGGGAGGGAAAATTTGAACCGTTCGTTGGAAAAATGGCGCGACTTGTAGTTACATCTGAAATACATGAAATACAACTTTTTGGTTTCAGTCGGTTTACAAAGTTTTCTTTCTGTATTAACATTTTCACTATTATTTTATATCCATCAATATTACGTGTAAATTATTGATTTTATTGTCAAATTATTAGCACAATTAAAGAGAAATCTGAGAAATAGATAATTTTATCATTGAATTTCAAATTTATGCTCAATAAATCTTCCTGCTTTTTTTTCTAGCTTTAAATTTTCATGTTTTTAAATAAATTGCGTTTAGTGATAAAATAATTATCCTTTTTTTAAGGAGGGATTTTTTGCTTTTTAAGTATCAGTTGAAAGTTTGTATTTTAAGATTTATACAAAAAATGACTAGACTACTTTTTGTTGAGAGTTGGGTCGGGTCGGGCATGGGACGAAGGGTCGAGAGCAAATCGCCTACTTCATTATACGAGTGCGGAATGTATGTCAAGAGGGCGTGGAGACGACAAGCTCTTTTGACTTCTGAGCAAGCAATAAAATATGACGGCAGACGGAGCAGGAGCAGATAATTGCGAATCGGCTTTCAGCTCGAGAGGAGAGCATTAATATATCATCAGCTCTTTTTCTCTGCCTCCTCAATTAACACCCGCTCCAGTGGTGCTTTAGTTAAATTTATTATAATGGTCTCACCACTTCTCGAGATTGATTGCTTGCAAATAATGAAAGGAAATTTATAATTGCATTTAGCAGAAATCATCAAAAACCATTAAATTATATCGATTCAAAGAAATAGGTTAATTTGTTGTATGGTTCAGGTTGAAGAAAAGAACAAGCGTAAATTGTTTTTAATATCTGCTTAAAAACATAATTACGAGAAAATGTCATTTTGTTAATCGGTTTTTCCCTCTAGTTCTTTATGAATTTAAAAAATGGCTCAGGAAGACAAATATTTTAGTTTGTTGTCGGGAAATAAATCTGTCCCGGATGCTAAGATTAATTATTTAATTCATAATTATTTTGGTTGGGGTAAATAGAATTAATAGACACAATTTTTACTTACTTTCAAAGGTTTGATGTAATTATTTGGCCTTATTCTTTGCACATATTACAAAACGCAACTGTGCCACTTGGCTTCACATAAAAGACTCATCTATCAATGTTGCTGCTCTGTCACCTGATGCCCTGTCTGTCTCTCAGCTGCGGCCACGAATGGTGCAGCAAGCACCATCAGTGGTCGCGCGAGGAAGTGCCGGTTTTACCCCGACACCTCCCCGGCCGAGAGGAGACAAGATCATCGGTGACATGAGGACAACAATTTAGTTTTTCAAAGATACACATTTTCAATAGAACACATAAATTGAAAGATACATTTTCAATTGAGCACAACTTAAAAGTAAAGATACATTTATTTATTGTTGTTTATTCCTGTCCGACAAATATTACATACATGTTATATGCACAGATCACAAAGAAAAATTGAGATAACAATTTTTGGGAGGGAAATGTTTTTGGACAAGAAAAGGCGCCGCCTCTAGCAAACATTTTGCTAAAACACTCGAAATCAAGAAGAAGTCTCATGCCGAAACGAGCCTCAATGGGGAGGGAAAATCACATTTGGGGGAAATCACTGGTCAAAGTTCCGCCACAGGTACTCTTTGCAGAGGGCTGGGAACTGGTCCACAGGGCAGTCTTTCAGGGCGGCCGGAAGGTCATTCCAGGGCTCCACTACCCTGAAGGAGAAGACGCTCTCGGCGAATTTGGTCCGAATGGTGGCCGGTTGCAGCTTGGGGTGCTGCGGGTCATCTCCTCGGAGCGGCCGGCGCTCGGTGATGCGCGCCATGGCATCAAAGTCGGTGGCGCCGCTCAGGCACCGCTTGAAGAACACCAGGTCGGTGTGTTGCAGGTGCATGGCCATCGGCATCATCCTCTGCTCGAGAGGCGGCGGCAGGTGGCGGCCGTGGATGAAATGGAGCCCATGCCGGTGCACTCGCTCGAGCTTCTGCAGGTTCTCCACAGTGGTCGGGTGCCAGGCGGGCAGTCCGAAGGTCATCAGAGGTTGGACGAGCGCCTGATATGCCAACCTTTTGACCCTGGGGGTGCACCCTTGAAGGTTGCGGCCGACGAAACTGAGCCTCTGAGCGGCCTTGGCGCGCACTGTGTCGGTGTGCACGCTCCATCGCAGGTCACTGGACACGTGGACACCCAGGAGCCGCTGGCGGTCGACGTACTCGAGGGCCGCGCCATCAATGGTGTACTTGAAGTATAGAGGGGTGTGGGCGTGGGTGATGTCCATAACCTTACACTTTTTGGGGTTGAGGGCCATGCCGTTGTTGTGGCACCAGATCTGGACATCGTCCAGGTCTGCTTGCAGGGCGTCGGCGTCCTCGGGGGTGGCGACAACACGCGAGAGGGTGGCGTCGTCGGCGTACTGGAAAATTTGGGTCCTCACCGAGGTGGGGAGGTCCGCCACAAAGACGTTGAAGAGCAGCGGCCCAAGGACGCTGCCCTGGATGACGCCCGAGGGGACTTCGGTGGGCTCGGAACGCGCTCCGTTGAACTGGACGAATTGCGTCCGGCCGACCAGAAAGCTCTCGAGCCACTTGAGCAACTTGCCCTTGATGCCGTAGTGCTCCAGCTTGGAGAGAAGGCGCGCGTGCGGAACCCGATCAAAGGCCTTCGACCAGTCGAGGAACACACAGTGGACGTGGGCGCCGCTCTTGGCGTCCAAGGCTGACGTCCACGAGTCGATGGCGCCGGTCAGAAGTGTGGTGCAGGAGCGTCTCTCGCGGAAACCGTGCTGAGTCGCCGGGATGACGTTCTGGCTCACGAGGAACTCGCTCAGCTTGTCCCGGACAAAGCGCTCCAGCGTCTTGCCGACCAGCGAGGTGATGCTGATCGGACGGTAGTTGTTGAGGTCGCGCTTGCTGCCATCTTTGTGGATCGGCGCCACAGATGCCATTTTCCACTCAGCAGGGAGGCCCTGTTCGAGCGACTTGTTGAAAAGGGCAGAGAGCGAAACGCAGAGGGCAAGGGCGCTGTTCTTGAGCAGCTCGGCGGGGATGTCGTCGGGGCCGGCTGCGGTGTTGGTTTTCACCTCCCGGAGCAATTTGTAGACGTCGGCGGGCGAGCAGGCCAGCTCGCTCAGGGTGGGCTGCGGCTCCGAGGGCTGCGTGGCGGGCGGGTTGCGGCGCAGGAAGGGGAAATTGTTGTCGTCCGGGCGAGAGAAATTGCCTTGGAAGACCTCACTGAAGCGTGCAGCCACCTCTTTTGGGTCAGAAATGGTCACCCTGCCCACGTCAAAACTCACCGCGTCGTTGGGGACGGTGGCCTTCGAGTTGATGTAGCGCCAGAACACCTTTGTGCCCTCGGCGCCGCGGCCCATCAGCCACATCCAGTCGTCTTTGGCCGCACGAAGGGCAGCTTGTGTCGTTCGGCGAGCCGCGAGATAGGCCTCTCTCGCCGCGCGCTGCTTCGTCTCCCGCCATCGGGAAAATAGGCCGTCACGAATGTCGATCAGCACCTTCACGTCCTTGGTGAGCCAGGGGAGGAGCCGCCTCTTGCCGCCCCCGGCCCGCCTCTTTGGCACATGTTGGTCGATGCACTCGGACACGATGCGCTTCCAGTTGGCCCACGCCTCGTCGATGTTGTCCGCCTGCTGCAACTCGGACAGCCGTTCGGTGAGCGCTTCGTTGAGTGCCGGCCAGTTGGCGCGTTTGAAGTCGGGGATCTCACGCAGCTCTCTCACAGTTCAATTGAGCACTGGAGGGTATTTGTGTTGAATTAATTTTGAGAAGTTAATTTTTTGTTGTTCAAATTAATTGGTTTGTGAAATTAAAATTTTAATTGTCGTATTCTTGGGGTGCGTTGCGCAAGAAATAGGAGTTGTTTCTCAGCAGTTTTCTCTACTTCCGCTGCTACCCAGGGCAGGCATTGCTTAAATGGGGTGGACGAGGCCCCGAAGCAAACTGGCTTTTCCCCCCCGGGACAACAGAAGCAGATATACCTACGAGTTGGAGATGCATTTTTTTTTTTTTTTTTTTGTAGTGGAGGAATGAAATGTGGTTTGGAGAACCAAAATTGAGAAGGACTGAACTCCAATTTTTTGCGCAAAGCAATGATTTGAGCGAGTTGAAAATAAATTTGTGTCATGCATTTGTTTGTGTTGTTTTACATTTTAATTTTTGGATTTGCCGAAAGTACAGTTTGTTCGTGAATTTTGATTGATGGTTTTGTGTTTTATTTGTGTATTTTGTGATCGGTTTAATTTAATTTGTTGACGAGTGTTTAAATCTAAAAAAGGGGTTAAAAAGTGCTCTTAACCCTCAACATTGATAAATTGAATTTAGGGGTGAGCTCAGAGGGAGCCGTGGGCGCTTAAGGCGCTATTGTGGCTGAAAAGTAGAATTTGAATTTAGTGTTTGTTTTTTTGTTTTTGTTAAATTGAAACAGAACCTTTGTGAATTAAATTTAATTGAACTACTCCCAAAACTAATTTACTAATTCCCTTTGTTTTTTTTTTCTATGATTTTTGCCTTAAGGAGGCAAATGTTCTATTTTGGAAAAAAAATTGTTTTGATTTGCATTTTTGGTAATTTAGAATTAGGGGTAGGAGTAAGGTGTTGGGGCGCGTTGAGCGAGAGTGAGATCCGTCACCGGAGCTGGTGAGGGTGGCTGAGCCGTTCTCTGCGCAAACAGGAGGTATGGGTGGCGGTAAAGGATGTACAGGATAAGGGCCAACAGGAGAGGCGAGATGTAACTGAAAGTTTGCACCGAAATGGTGTGCACGTCGGACCAGTCGAAGGTGGTGAGGTTGGTGTTTTGCAAATTGATCGAGATAAGGTCATTTGGAAGTTGGACGAACGGAGTAATATTGGCGACAGTATTGATCTGATGGAGGAAAATCGTGTCGGGAATATTGCTCCATTGATGCGGGATGAGGTGAGTCACTTCAAGAGAAGTGTTCGAAAGGAAGCAGGGAAAGGTGGAGTGGATTAGGGTGAGTGACCCTGCTTGAAGAGTGCACTGGCACGGAACTGTGATTCGAAGGGCAGTGGTCGCCTTGGTAATTTCGATGGTGTGCTTTTCTGTTGGACAAGAGAGAACGAGCGGCGCCGCGGGGTGAGTTATTGTGAAAATGTCGTTCTCCAATTTTGTGATCACCGTTTTTTGGGAGTCAACACATTTCAGGGGACAAGTTTGTTTTAAAAGGGCTAGAGTGGTTTGGGGCCCAAAAAGTGAAAAGAGGCATGAGTTGACTTGGGCTTCAATTTCGTAGCGTGTAGTAAGTGCAATTCGCGGAGTGGGGAAAGAAATAGCACGGTACATGTTCAACTCCCCCGGTCGTGTGCCTTGGGCCACAAAATCTGGGAGTTCAACTCTACAGGTTTTGGTTTGTAAGGCAAAAGGGTACGCAATGATTTTAAATGCTTTCCAGAGAGTTTTGGCGCGAGTCAGTGGCACTTTCAGCGTGAGCGTCGTTTCAGTGGCGTGTCTGGTGCACTGAACGAGCGATTCCCTGTAATAAAGGTTGAGGTGCAGGATGGGGATGGAAAGGACGACGTCGTGTGAACTCAGGGTCGCAGACAAGTTGGCCAACCGTGATCGGAGAGTGTCTCGAGGCACGATCGCCGGATCCAAGCGCCCTGAAGTGCACACTTCATCGAGTGATCTGGAAAAATCAAAGTGTATAGTATTCAGGTCAAAGATTTGTGCATGAATAATTAGTCGATACAAATCAATGAAGGTGGTGTACACGAAGGACAAGGTTGGCGTATTGGTTTTTACGAAATCAACAAGTTGATTCATTTTGTTAGTCAACTGATTGACGTGGTCAGTTACTGAGTTGCTAAATCTGTTAATTTTTTCATTGTTTGCATTGATTGTTTGGAAATTTTGTTTGAGTTCCTCATTGAGCGATTTCAACCTTGCATGCGTCTCACCACCATCCTGATAGGTATCAATTAGCGCTAAATCGCAGCACCAATTAAAGACTGACCCAAGCCAATGCAACCCCCTCCTATCTCTCAGCGTTTGGGACTCGAACTGAATGGCAAAATTCAGGTCGCGATCGAGCTTGGTCGATAGCGCCGAAATATTGGCAAACAGTGCGTATCCAGTTTGGTGTGCTTTTTCCGCTGGAGAGATAGGAGTAAAGGCCACAATTTTTGGGGCTTGGATCGTAATTGGGTGCTCGATTTGGAACAAGAGAGGGAACGATGAATCCACGACGATCTTGTCGACTTCGACGAAGTGCACGCCCGGGTGCAGGGCATGCGAGGTCTCCATACCGAGGGCCGGACTGCCAACGAGGGCGGCCAAGCCCAAACAGTAGAGGGCACAATGAATCAAGAGCATTCTGAAACTGAGAGAATTTTAATATTTTGTTTTTTGTCAATTAATTGAACTGGGGAAGTGTTTAAAAAAATTTGCGGATAAAGAATCCAATATAAAACTAGATTTTCTATTTTATATAAAACTAGATTTTCTATTTTATTTCTTGTGCTAGTTCTACTCCCTTTTTCTATTTTTGGCAAGTCTAATCTAGTTTTCTTTACTATATTTTTCTATACTATTTTTTTTTTTCTTGTCAAATCTATTTTTGTCTAAGCTACATTTTTTGCATGTAATATTCTACTTTCATCTATTTTCTTCTACTTTTTTTTTTGTATTTTTGTTTTAATTAAAAGACGCAAGATAAACTGACTGTTGTTAACCAGTTTTCTGCGTGTAATTCTTGCAGAGATTTTTCGCGGCAATGTTATCACGCAAGGGAAATTTGACTTTTGGTAGTCATTTTTGGGCGTGTTCACGCAGGAAGTTCTCTCTGCAAAAATAGGGTTTCATTCGTCGAATGTTGATGGGCTCGACGACATTGGGGCGGTTCAGTTTTTCTACCGCGTACGTTACTGGGGTGAGTTTTTTGACCACTTTTCGTGGTCCCAGCCAGTGACCAAGCAGTTTTTTGCTTAGCCTGGGCACTGAGAGGGGTGTGAAAACGGAGACTAAGTCGCCAGGGGCGAATTGAAGGGGTCGATGTTTTTGGTCAAATCGGACCTTGTCTTGTATTTGGTAGTGGTGATAGGAGTTGGCAATGATATTTTGCGCCAGACATAATCGGTTTCTCACTGTTTCTACAAAGTGGTTGTTTGCAGCGTGGTTGATGGGAATTTCGGCAGGGAAAAGAACTTGTCTGTTGAAGACCACGGCGTAAGGACTTTCTCCCATTGTGCGGTGGATAGACGTGTTCATTGCAAATTGGAGGTAACACAGTTTTTCATCCCAATCTTTTTGGTTGGGGGAGCAGTACTTCGCAATTATGCGTTTGGCAACGCCAACTTTGCGCTCTGCTCGCCCATTGGACATAGGAGAGTATGTGCTGATCCGGTGAATTTCGGCGCCAAGAGTTTTTGCGAGCTCTGTGATAAGCTCACCTGTGAACTCAGGGGCGCGGTCAAAGACGAGCTCCAAGAAAATGCCAAAACGGCAGACGAAGCGTTCAATCAAAAACTTAGCAGTTTCTTGAGCTGATTTGTTCCTGACGGCTTTCATTTCTGTCCAGGAGGTGCAGTAATCGACTGCAACTATCAGGTATTTTTTGCCTGACTTGCTCCTGACCAGCGGACCTGCGTGGTCGAAGGCTATTTTTGCAAAAGGTATTTGGCCTCTATTTACAGGTTGCAAGACTCCAGCCTTTTTTGTTGGTGGAGTGTTGTGTTTTTGGCACGTTTTGCATGATTTTATGTAACTTTTTACAGTGCTGACCATTCGCGGCCAAAAGTATCTCAGTTTCAATTTGTCATATACCTTCGCAAAGCCAAAGTGACCACCGTGTAGCTGGTTGTCATGAAAAATGCTGACAATGTCAATTTGCATTGATTTGGGAATGACAAGAAGCGTGGAACTTGATCGCTGCGAGGTCGAATAGCGGTGGAGGACTCCATCTTGCAGGCAGTAAGGTTTCGCTGCCCGCGCATGTTTGGAGCCGGCCCTGACAGGGTCTTGAAGGTAGTCAATAATATGTTTCAGGTCGTTGTCCTTTCTTTGTTCATCTCGTACGTGGGCGAGGTCAATGAAGAAGGTGGGAATTTCGATCAGCTCTTCGTAGCGGTTTTCGTCTAGCTCGACACGTTCGGTGTCATGGCGGCTGAGGAAATCGGCGCAAGAGTGATTTTTTCCCGAAATGTGGACCATTTTGAAGTCGAATTCTTGCAATCTCAACATTATGCGAGCCAAACGGCCGTAGGGATCGTTCAGGGTACTCAATTTGCAAATTGCGTGTGAGTCACTGATCACCGTGAAGGACAGACCATAAAGATAGTAGCGGAAGTGCAGCAGAGCCCAAATGAGGGCAGTTCCTTCCAGGGCCGCAGAGGCGAGGTTGCGCTCTGTTTTCAGGAGGGCCCTGGATGCATACGCCACAGGGTGACGGTGCCCTTCATGCAGTTGAGAGAGGCATGCGCCAAAAGCTACGTAGCTGGCGTCAACTTCGATAAATGTCTCTCGAGTGGGGTCGAAGTGCACGAGGAGTGGGGAGGTGCTGAGCGCTTCCTTGATTGCCACCAGGGCTTGTTCACACTCAGGTCGCCAAAGGAAAGGAGTGTCCTTTTTCAGGAGGCTGTAGAGCGGTGCTGAGATTGCTGCCAAACGGGGCAAACATTTTCGATAATAAGACACCATTCCAAGGATGCGTTGGAGACCCTGAAGGTCGGTGGGAGGGGCCGCGGCATGAATTGCTGCCGTTTTTTTGGCCAAAGGGTAGACGCCCTTTGTGGAGACAGTCCACCCGAGAACTTCCATTGCTTGAAATCCGATGCTGCACTTGTCAGGTCGAAACCGCAAGTTGGCATCATCGAAAATTTGGAAAAGAAGCTCAATGACACAGAGGAATGTGCTGAAATTTCGTGCCCAAAGGTACACGTCGTCAAGAAAATTGATGAGAAATTTCCAACGAAGGTTCAAAAGGAGAGTGTCAGTTAGACCCTGAAAGCGACCTGGGCAGATATGGATGCCAAAAGGTGCTCTTGTGAATTGGAAATGACCTGCACTGCAACTGAAAGCAGTGTACTTCCGAGAACCTTCCTCCAGAGGAATTTGGAAAAAGGCATTGAAAAGGTCGAATTGAGCCATGAAGGCTGCTGACCTGAAGGAAGCAATGACGTCATCCACTAACGGCAGGTAGTAAGCCGATTTGGCGCAGCGAGAATTAAGCACCCTGTAATCAACCACGAGCCTGGGATCCCCCCCCTTTTTTGGAATCAGGAAGGCAGGGGAGCTCCACTCAGATGTCGAAGGTTCGATTATGCCTGCTGCTAAAAGACGGTCAATTTCACGTCGCATTTGAATTTTCATTTGCTCAGGTTCCCTGTATGGTCTCAGGTTGACAGGTGGACCTTCAGGGCTCAGGGTAAGTGTGAGCTTGTTTGTACCTGGGAGGTCGGTAGCGCTGGTGGTAAATAAATGCGCATATTTACAAAGGGTAAACTTGATGCTGGCGAGCTGCTCAGCTGATAGCTCAGGATTTATTTGTACAAGGTCAATAGGGGCAGGAGGGGTATTTACAGGTGGGGTAGTGGGAGGAGCTTCCGTGGAGGGGCAAAAAGGCGAGGCAGGAAGCAGCGAGGCCGGGCCCCCGTTGGCGGATTGGGGAACTGGATTTGAACCCACGTCGCCATTTTGAAGGACCTTACGGGGGCTGCTACCCCCCCGGATGAAAGATTGTGGGGGCTCCACTTTGAAGCTCGGTGGCGGGGGTTTTGGAGATGCCGACCGCTCCGGGGTTGCGTGGGGTGCTTGATTTACACCCCACTCGCCGATGGGGGGCGGTACGGGTCCGGATGCCCCTTGGGGGTAGGCCTCGAGGAGGGCGACGTCAACCACTTTTGGAATGAGAACGCGCTGACCCGCGCAGTCGATGATGACGGAAAATTTAATCAAAAAATCGAGGCCAAGGAGAATTTGGTACCGGAAATTTGGGACCACTCGGAACTCATGCGTGAGGGAGCGGTCTCCGATTTGGAGTGTGAGGGGGCGAGTGCCATAAACAGGCAAAAAATTTCCTGACGCAGAGCGCAGAAAAGCAGTTGGAAATTGCAAAATGGCGCGCCGGTCGACCAAGGAGGCGTCAACCACAGACGCGGCCGCCCCTGTGTCGACGAGAGCGACAAGAGGGTGGTTTCCTAAATATACAGTAATGTGGAAGGCATGCGAGGGTGTTTGTACAGAGGAATGGGGTTGCAGGGAAAAAATTGGAAGGGAATCGGAAAAAGGGGTAGGAGGGGTGGTTTGATAGGAGGGGTGGATGTGATTTTTACAAGGAAAAATTAGGGGTGAGTTTGGGAGGTCCGGCTCGGGGCCAGCCGGCCTCCTTAGCCGTTTCCCAATTGAGCTTTAAGGGATCGATTTTCTTCTTGCAAAAGTGCAACCTGGCGAGTGAAACACTTTTCTTCAACGTGCCCTTTGCGTTTGCAAAAGTTGCACGTAGGGCGATTTTGCTGTCGCTGTAAATTCATAGTGTGCAACTGCTGTGTTAAAGCAGTAATTTGCGCCTGCATTTCAAGCTGCTGCTGTTGCTGAGCAGACGGCGCGTAAGACGAGACCGAAGACGGAGCTGAGAATTGCGCACGGCTCGGCACGGGGGACGCCATCAGGGACGGTATGGCGCTGTGCGATCCGTGAGAAATGGCCGCGACTGATGGAGCTGATGGCGGGAAAGGAAAATCGGCTGATGAATGTGCAAGCGCTGCTATGTATTTTTCGTGTCGCGCGCGGCGTGCTAATTTTTCGTAAATTCGCTCGGTTTCTGAATCGAGGGCATCGGACTGGGCTTCCTCAGTGTCGGAGTCGCTGTCAAATAAAATTGGTTTCTTTTTCTTCTTTTTTGGGGTGGAAGTTGAGGGTGGAGCGAAGCTGTCGCTCGCGAGCTGCATGAGGCCACTAATTGTGGTGCATTTATCAATTAATTCGCGGAGGGTGAGAGGAGTGGCACCTAATTTGCGAATTACTGAAGGTTGCAAATTTTTCATGATCCGAAGCACAAGGGCATTTTCAGGGAGGTTTGGCGCGATGGTGCGCGAATATCGGACCATGTCATTTATGTAGTTTTCAGGATTTTCGCCTGGCTGTTGTTTCCGCGTCGCGAGATAGTGCTCGGCTTGCAGTTTTGCATTTGGGGAAAAACGGTCCTCAAAATCTGTGAAAAACTCATCGAGAGTTTTTGCTGCATTGCTGGGGTTGTCGAGGTAGGCATCAGCCCACAAGGATGCGTCGCCGCGGAGTGTGATTTGGAAAAACTGCAGGGCTTTGGCATTATCCCAGTTGTAAATAGCTTTGTGTTTTTTAAACATTACAATGTGGGCTCGAGCGTCTTCAGCGGCGTTTGGCGCGCCGGTGAAGGTGATGGGCAGAGAGGTCGGATTACTGGTCGCCATATTGGACGCTTGGTCGGCGTCGTCTGCTATGTCTGCAAAAGGCAATTCGCGAAACGCGTTGATAATTTTTGAACGCGCGCGAGTGATAGCTCCTGAAGGCGGGGTATTTTGGGCAACTGCTCGATTGGCTCGATTTTCGGCGGTGGGGCGACCGAGCATCAAATTTATTATGGCCTGGCAACGATCGAGTCGCTCGAAGACTGGGAGGATGCCGCACGGGTCATTCATGAACTGAACCAAAAATTAGAGGGAAATGCACGCGGGGCCCATTTGCGGGGATCGGGCGAGAAAATTTTTGGGGTCGCGGGGGTGTTTGTTGGGCGCCATTTGTCGGGAAATAAATCTGTCCCGGATGCTAAGATTAATTATTTAATTCATAATTATTTTGGTTGGGGTAAATAGAATTAATAGACACAATTTTTACTTACTTTCAAAGGTTTGATGTAATTATTTGGCCTTATTCTTTGCACATATTACAAAACGCAACTGTGCCACTTGGCTTCACATAAAAGACTCATCTATCAATGTTGCTGCTCTGTCACCTGATGCCCTGTCTGTCTCTCAGCTGCGGCCACGAATGGTGCAGCAAGCACCATCAGTGGTCGCGCGAGGAAGTGCCGGTTTTACCCCGACATTGTATTACTTTGATACCATCGATCGATTCTTAATTGGTGATTTTTTTTTAAACCTTATTTGATAATTAATAAATCTTTATCTTATATTTTTCTTCTACTCATTTTAAGAACACTGAGATTTGTCTGTCATTATTTTGTTTATAAATTTTGATAGAAATAATCTGTGAAACTTTTGTGATTGCTTTTCGCGGAAAATAACAAGACGTGCGGAATTCTGATTATTTTGCATTCAAATGAGAAAAGTTTTTTTGTGTGGATTGTTCGTCGGCGCCGGATATGACATGGACACGAGTGGAATAATAAGAGCGACGCTTGTTTTGTGCGTCGAATGCAAAAAAGAGCCGGCACGGAATAATTTTATTTTCGGCGGAGAAAAAATCCGCGTGTTTTTGCGAGAGGACGCGAAAATTATATTGCTTGCTGACTGCGTGGCCAAATTGAATTCGCTGTTGATGAAGCCTTTTGCTTTTGCGTTTGTCAAGAGAGGGCCGCTCCATTCATTAGCGATTAAAAGGGCGCGCCCTTCATTAGGGGAGTTGCTGCGACATTTTTCGACCTTTTGTGCCCAAAGCGGCTAAAGTTCACTTTATTGCCGCGCGGAAACAATGCGTCTCGCCAAGGTGGAAACCCCACTCGGCCCAATTGTTGAGGACCCTTTGTTCTGCCTTGTTTACGGTTGTGTGCAGCCTTAATCGATTTTGCGTTGTTTGAGACAAAAAATTGCACAATCGCCCTCGGCCTTCATTAAAATGCAAAAAAAAAAATGCATAAATTTCCATGAAATTGTTAAAATATTTGGATTTATTTTAATATTTAAAATTATTTATTTCCCCTTTGATCAATGGAAGCAATAAAAATATTAAATTAACAATTTTTTTAATATTTTTTTTAGTTAACACAGATTGTAAAACATTTAATTTTGGTCCTGCTTTAGCTTCATTTTATCATGAACAATCAAAATAATTTCTATTGGTGTTTATTTGTGCAAATTGCTTCATCGCATTGTTTATATTCAATTGTTGTAAACAATTTATGTAAAAAAAAATTTTGGACTATCAAGAATTTTGCTAAAACTTCCGAGATCTTAACGTCAATAAGTTTAATTCAAAACTAGACATAAATTTGCAGATATTGAAAATTTGAAATAAAATAGTAATTATATCAAATAAATTAATATTTTTTTTACTATCTCTTTACAAATTTGCGTGGTTTCGACAAAATTTTATTCAAAATTGGTTCAAATTAATAGCAATTTTCATAAGAAATTGACATCAATGAGAATCATATAATGGTTCTGAATAATCGAGTAAAATTTTACAATTTTGTTGAATAAATTGATTTTATTATGTTCTCTATTCCCCTAAAATATAAATTTTTGAATTTACAAAAAATATTAAATCTTGTGAAAAATACATTTCGATGAATATTTTTGTATTTATTTCAAATTGTAGCCAGATTTTCAAGCGTTGTAGATTCAATTATCAATTTAAATTTTAACTACAAAATTAATTTGTTCCTTTTAAACTTTATAAAAGAAACAAATTTATATCATTTTTATGGAAACTTTTTTATTTAAGTGAAGAAATGCAAAGAAAATAAATTAGTTGACCATTTAAAAGTAATTTCAAATATCCTTTCATTTTTCCAAGTTAATTTTGTGTAATCTTGAACAAATTTAACGTTGGTCTAATTTTTTTATATTTTCGTTTCAGATTTGAATTTGAAGCCGCGGCCACATCTGCACCAAGGTGAGTACCATCTATCTATTTATTTATTCCATCTCTCTGCCGTAAGTTCTTCTCTCAAGGCGGCGAAATTCGCCTCCTCTCGCACTTTAATTGCACGCCAGTTTTCATTTCGGCGCGGTTTGTGTGAGCGCGCGAACCGGCCAGGCTTTGCGTCTAATCTGCGGACGGACGTTTGCGGCCCAATAGCATTTTGCGACCGCCGTAATCCTCGCTTATTTATGATCTGTGTTGCTTACCCGGCCCACGTGGACGTAGATTAATGCGGACGGGATTACTCGTCATCCTTGGGGTGCACCCTTGCCTGCACCGAAGAAAGAGGCTCTCAGATTTTCTAGCTGAAAAGAAGCAAAAAATAATAAATCCCGCAGATTTTTTTATTTCATTTTTTAACTTTTGAAACTCAGAGTAATTGCCAATGATATGTTTAATCAATTCTAAAAACGACCGACGAAATTAAAGTTCTTCTGAACTTTTTTCCGTCTAAAATTAATTTATACCTCAAAGGAAGTTGGTCCTTATTGATAAATCGTTAAAATTTTTGAAAGCTTTTGGCGGGAAAATGCGAAATCAGTTTTAAAGCTGAAGTGACTGACAATGAATTGTGTGATTTTTTTAGCAATTTCTAAGTCGTTCATGACTTTTTTCACCACCTTCTGAAGTAAATATGATTAAAAAAAAATTACAGGTGCAGGGCTTTAAAGAATTCAATTATTTTATTTCTTATGTTTATTTTTTAAGAAATCTGTGTACAATTTTTTTATAAAACACGTTTTTGTTTAGAGCTTCGTACCGGTCTCTGTATTTTAAAACGTCACAGCTTCGCCGAATCGAGGGCAAAGCGCCATAAAAAGAAGCTATATCTGAGCGGAAAACAAAAGTTTGTTTCCAACTCGCGCCGACAAATATAGCACTCGGGGCATTTCTCTCTACATTTTATTCCCCGTTCAGACAAGCAGAAGCGACTGCTTTTCATAATTATTATACGAAAGCGCCGAACGAACAAAATTTTTTTGCACACAAAAAAAAATCAGCAGAGTTGGTCGTCTGCTGACGCTTTTCTTTTTTTTTTTGCGTTTCCTCTCTCTCTGCGCGAGACTTTTCGTCATTTTATATTTGCAAACTTTTTGTTTGCTTTGTTGACGTTTCAAAAATTTTAAAAGCCGCTGGTTTGATTTTACCGGCCCTGAATTGTACGTTTATGCAATCGGCGGTGTTTGTTTTGGAAGCAATTAGACAGATCCCTCTTATCCGGCGTTTTCGAGTGATGCGAGATTTGATCGGCGGGACTTCAATTCCATCCATCACCGACAGCAAAGCAATTAGTTTTCAATCTGGCCGATGACAAAAGAGGAAATCTCATCCATCGTCCTCGTGCACGCGAGATTCGCCGTCTCCATTTCGCATTTCATTCGTTTTGACGGATGCGAAGTGCTGTCGAGAGGCCCTTTGTGAACGAAAAAACGTTTGTGTCGGTCGGTCCACTTTTATTGTACCAAAAGCACGCGGATTTGAGTGATTGTTAATCATCCAATGATAATCGCACCGTCCTTTCCCTTTCAATTAATTCATCCTTTTTCCTCTTCAATGTCATATCAAGTTAAATTTAAACTCATTTTCGGTTTAAAATCATCAGTTATTATTAAACTAAAAGATTTATTTTTTAAAAAGATTTTGATAAATATTTTCTTCCAAATTAATTGAAATAATCCAAAAGAGTTTTTTTTTTTAAATTAAGGGAATTTAAAAAATTCATAGGAAATTGTCGACGATTTGTTAGGAAATAGGAATTAATTAAAAATTTAAAACTATTTCAATAAAAAACTCATTTTTTTTTTTGTAATTTTCTTTGAACTGTTATTCTTAGTTCAAATCAAAATCAGTTTACCTTATTAAGGCTTTTAATACACTTCAATCTGAACAAATAATTTTTAATGTCGAATATTCCACATTTTGTCAGTATTTAATTCTATGGAAATTAGATTTAATAAATTTTTTTTCATAGAAATTCATGAACTGACGGAAAAACTTTAAATAAATTATAAATTGCAGTAAAAAATTGAAAAATTAGCATTATTATTCTAGGTGTTTTTATTTTGAAATTCATTATAATCTTTAATAAATTGATGTAAAATTTTGTCAACTAGAAAGAATTCCTCTTTTTTCCCGTCGATTGAAGAAGAAATTACGTTCTCACTCTAGAGGTGAAATCAACTGTCTTGTATTGTGTATGGATAAAGAAATTCCAGCTATGAAGTATAAGAAGTTGGCGCGAGGATACAAGAAAGGTTCTCTCCGAGTTGATTTTCCACATTCTTTTGAGCGCTTAAATATTCAATCAAATTGGCGGTCACAAAGGTGGAAGAATCCGGCCCGGCGCCCCGAGCCACTTTTGCAGAGCGCCGGCTCCACAAAAGAAGAGAGCGAGGCGGCTTCAATTATGCAAAATACAGGTTTCTCTTTCGCTAAAAAGGACCATTGTGCGCTCGCGGAGAGTAGAGAGAAAAAGAAAAGCGAGGCGCACATTTTTGAAATAAGCATAGTAGTGCTGCACTCGCTCCTCGGAATGCACGTTAGTTTCGCTCGAGCGACAGAAAGAGAGCTAGAGAGAGACCCTTTTGGCCGATCAACCCCTACAAAGGACCCCTCCGGGCCGCGAGCATATGTTTAATCCATGTACAGTTCGACAACTCATACCATAACCTTAAAAATTGCAGATCATTCATGCAATTAGAAGTTAGTACAGCAAGATTCATTTAAGTTTTTATTGTAATTTTTATTCCTATTTTTTTCTGGGAATTTTCGGAAATAGAAAAGAAATTAAAATCTTGCAAAAAAAAAAACAGCAAGACCAATTAAGAAGCAAAATATTTAATAAAATATTAAAAATGAAATTTTTATACCAAAATCATGACTGGCGAATAAAGTCACTTTATTTTAGTTTTTAATTTGCTTATCAAAATGAATCCTGATGATAGATCTTTGCCGATTGAGTCATTATTATTCAAAATATTTGAGAATGAAAACAACTTCAATTTAAAGTTTATGGATTATTTTGAGTAATATTATGCGTTAATTTAAAAAGATTATAGCAATATTTGTTTTGATCAAACTGCTTAAAGAGGATGAAAACACCTTAGGGCAGCACAATCATCCACAAAAACTAATAGTTTGGACCATAGGGATCATTAAAATAACAAGAACATTGGAGGTCACCGCGTAAATTTTTGAGAAAAACGCATTTGAAATTAACATGGCTCGCTTATGTAAAATTTTCACTAAAATCGTTTGATTGCATTTTAAGTCAACAGTATTGCCTTTGGCAAGGGTTTGTGACCCACCAGCATGCTCCTTGACAACCCTGCTACAAATGTGGCACCAGAAAATTGGGGGTCACCGCGTAAATTTTTGAAAAAAGTTAAATTGAAGGTCGAAAAGCGTCGTTTTTTGCATTTTTCACGTTTCCGAGACAATTAAGCAAATTTTTGAACACTTTGATTTCATTTATATCTTCAATCAAATATCATGATAGTTAATATTTTGGTTTCTACAAAACCCTAATAATGAAAAAAAATCATATTTTTGAAAATCCAATATGGCCGTCTGAGATACACAAGGGTTTACTAAAACTGATGCCAAATTAATTAGGGTGAAGATTTTTTAATTTTCTCGGTGCGAGGTTGCAGCTAATGAACCAGTGTATCTTTTCTCAATGGTTACCAAGTTACTAGGTCAAAGGTCATTGACCCTGGCAAAAGGTCAAAATCTTAAGTGTTTTGCCCCTTTGAGATAGGCAACCTTACAAAAAATCCGAGATAGCCAAAAGATGCGGCATGTCATTTTGCGTCAGTGTGTAAATTTTCAGAATTTTTGAACAAGCAGCTTTGAATATATTAATGATTTTTAAATAGCGTCCGAACGACTGAAAATGATCTCTTCGGACGAGTTAAAAATTAGAAAACGAGGTTTTTTCATCATATTTAACACAAATTAAGTAGGTTTTTTTTGTATTAAATGTAGATTTGAAGGTTTTGAAAAATATTTGCTAGGTGTTTTCATCTACTTTAAATTATTGTATTTTTGATGAAAATTCTTTATTTTCAACATTTCCATCCAACTGTACAGGAATTCAATACACGGAATTGTATAAATTTGGCCGCAACTCGATAATAAAGACAGCGTGCATGAATATTCCGAGACTTATTTACCAACTTCCGAGGAAAGAGGGAGCAATTTGAGCTAATGGGGCGGTTTTCCGCGAAGCCAATCTATCGGATTGTGTGTGTGTCTGTCTGAGTACATAGAATATATGCATAAAGTCGCGGCGTGCTCTTTGTGATTGGAGCAATTTTGGAATCGCAGAGTAGAGACTGACAGCGGGTCGAAAAATAACCTGTTCAGCGAAACGAAGAGCTGCCGAGTCACGACACTTGGCGTGTTCTCTAATTCCCCTCAACACCGTGCACAGTGTCCTCGTTTGCTTCAAATTTGGAACAAGTAAAACGAGAACCGATTAAATTACAGGCTGTGAAAAAATTGAAATCGAATCTGGCATCATCAAGTTGATTCGTGCTCATCATAATAAAAAATACAAAAGTTTAAGTCCAGGTATTATCAATTTTCCATAATGAAAATTCATAAAAGAGCCAAAAATGATCCAAATTAAATATAACGAAAGGAAATTATCTATCAAAATAGTTATTGAAATGTAAATTTGATCTGTAATAAGACACTTTTTATAACAAGCTTTTTATTTTGCTGAGATAATGCAGTTCAAATAAGTTAACTAATATACCATCGATATTGTAAATTTCCAATTCAAATTAATTACATTTTAATGTTTATTGTATTTAAAGTTTATTGCTTTATTTATTTTGATGTTTCAGTGTGGAAAAATGTTTTAAGGAAGAGTTTTTTCTCTAAAAATAAGAATTTTCAATTTGCAAATTAATTTAATTTTTGCCACAATATTTCACAGCTCACGATATCTTCAAAAAACAAGA